TTACTTGGTATTGGATCGGAAAGGAAATCAGTGGTATCGCACATCACTACTGGAAAGGAAACATGACACATAAACCAAGGAGACATAGATGATAATATTGGCTAAACTAAAACTCAGCGCAGGCTGGGCACCAAAAACTTATCAAGAGGTCCTTTAAGCTCTGCGAGTTATGAAGTCTAGCCTCAATTAATCAGATTTATTTATCCAGCACATCCTACAGGTGTTTGATCGATTTGAGATCTGGGGATTTTAAAGGTCAAGTAAACACCTCAAACACATTATTGTGCTACTCAAACTATTTCTGAACTATTTTGGCAGGGTACATTATCCTGCTGAAGAAGGCCACAGCCATCAGAGAATACAGTTTCCATGAAAGGATGTGTATGGTTGCAACAATGCTTAAAAACGTGGCACGTCTCAAAGCAACATCCACATTAATGACAGGACACAAGATTTCCCAGCAGAACATTGCCAAAGCATCACACTGCCTTCATTTACTTGCCTCCTTCCCATAGTTCACCTGGTGACAGGTGTTCTCCAGGTAAGCAAGGCGCACACACCTGGCTGTCCATGTGATGTAAAAGAAATTTGATTCATCAAACCAGACAGTGATTGTTTGCTTAGCCAAGGAGACTCAACATGCAAGTTTTCTTCAGGGTTTAAAGTCAAAATACACAAAGGATGTTTTACATTTAAGACACAAACCCTTCTTACATTGCTTCATGGTCCAGTTCTGATAACCATTGTTGGCACTTTGGCAGTGGACAGGATCAACATGGGCACCCTGACTGATGCAGCCCCATACTCAAATAAGTGTGATGCACTGTGAAATCAGACACATTTCTATCAGAACCAGGATTAGCAGTTTGAGGTACAGTAGAACATCTGTTGGGTGGGACCAAAAGGACCAGCCTACACGCCCCACATATATCTGTGAGCTTTGACCACCTGCGAATCGTGACAAGAGCTGCAGTTTTGCAGATGCTCTGACCCAGTTGTCTTGCCATCACAATTTGGCCCACAACTCAGACTCACTCAAATACTCACACTCGCCTATTTTTCCTGCTTTTAACACATCAACTTTGAGAACAAAGTGTTTACTTGCTCCCAAATATCGTGACACTCACACAAATCCCTTCACCTGTTAGTACTTATAATATTATGCATGATCAGTGTATATTAATACAAATAGCAGACACTTCCATTTTCAATATGATGAATAATAAACAAATAATTATGTATGTTTTTTTAGATGCAGATGTTTTATGCAGTTGATTTGAACCAGAGTTTTAAGTGAAAAATTTCATTTGAAAAGTGACGTTTTTATATTATACTGGGACAATCAGTGTGGAGCTTGAATGTTCTTCTTGTATAAATGTACTGTGTAGGGTAATAGATTAACTCTAGTTTATTTCTTTAATTTGGTACCAGAACAACTACATTTCTTTATTATCTAGAGTTAAGCTGAATTCTCTGACACACACAACACTAACTGTCACTAACAGTCACTCGGGTCTGTGTTATCACTGGATGAACGTGCACACACATATAAAGTCAAGCTTTGAAGGTCTTCCAATTATTTATTTATTGTGGTTTATCTTCAGTAACATATGATTTACAAAAAAAATCTTATAGAACATTTTGTTGAGAGAAGAATTTAGAATACAGTAAAATTACAAAAATCATTTACCAGCAGAAAAATCACCCCAACAACCCCCCCAACAAATAAAACAGAAACCACAAATGCATGTATTATATTTTATTTACACACCACAAACAGCACAAATAATCTATGAAAGAAAGAAATGTTCAAATCTGAATTTTATTCTACAGTTAACCTCAAAAGAAGAACATTGTGTCTTAATAACAAATGAAAATGAAATCCAGTTTTACTGTTGTTTGTACCACTGTAACTGCACACTGTAGTACGCACATTCACTCCAGGTCTGATCTCTCTGACTTTTTGACCGGTTGTACAGGTTGACAGTTGAAGCAGCAAAAATGAGCTTCTCTGTTTGAAAACCCTAAAAACAAGAAACGTATTAAAAAAAAATATTTCCACAGATGGATTTTTCCGTAAGTAAAATCTAACTGAACAGTATTAACTCACCTTTGCATCTGCTCTGGAAGGGATTGCTTCAGGCTCTGCAGCATAGAAAACAATATATTAACATTCAAAGTTCTAGAAGAAGTTGTGAGCTAAAAACAAAACAGTTGTTACCTGAAGATTCACAGCCACAGTTATTGCTCATACACAGTAAGAAAGCCAGCAGTACACTCAGGATGGAGGTAAATGCAAAGGCACCGCTCCAGAAAGTCCAGAAAGAAGCACGATTATCTGCATAAAGTGACACATCTGAAACAGATTTGCATCCATTAGTTGTTTTGGTTTTAGAAGTGTGAATTGGAACAACTTTCACTAAGCTCAGTCATAATGTTATTTACCTTCAAAGTCCAGTTTTTTCCCACTTCCAAACAGTATGTGTCCACATGAGGCAACAGCACAGTAGTAGGTTCCAGCATTATACACATTTATGCTCTTCACTGGCAGGTTGTAAGTGCAGTTGTATGTTTGTTCGTTCTTCTCACACTGATCGTT